TCTCTCTTCTCAGGTAAAGCCCAACCATGTGGGCAGGTCTGGGGCTAGTTCTGGCCCTCTGTCTCCTCCCAGTAGGAGGGACAGAGGCCCAGAACTGCCAGGAGCCCCCAGAATGGCATATTGGGGAGGAGGATCCGATGTGGAACTCCAGAGGCTCAGTGACAGTGGTGGCTCTCCTCCAGGCTAGCTGACTATTGTGCCTGCGGCAGGCTTCCAGGTAAGTGTGGATCTTGTCCCAGTTTTTGTTATCCAGCTGAGACTGCTACATGTGCCCTGCCACAGATGCACTCCCTGAACTCTAGCTGCCCCAAATGCCACCATCACAGCTGGCATGTGTGATCCAGTCCCCTGGCTCACTATCAGCAGAAGAGTTCTGTGCCAGTGGGAAAGATTCTTTATCTCTTGACCTGCTCTTGACTGGCAGATTGTCTTCTCCAAATTAGGTTCACAACATAATAAATAGTATGATCAACTTGACATTAATGAAACCCAAACCACAGGAACTCCTGACAGAAACAGCAACAGATGATTAATGTAGTAAAAATGGTGAAGCCAAGAAACACCAAAATTCTTTAAAATGCTTAGGTTACCTGAAATAGAGAGATCTGTGATCACTGATTTCTTATGTAAGACCTGTAGGGGAAAAATAAACCCAACATATGCTTTTAATATGGCTTTCAGCCTGTGTTCAGAGATCCTACATATATTTTAAAAGTCTAGAAGTAAAGGTAAATACCGTCCTTTCGAAAAATTGATGAAGCATTCAAGGAAGTCATCAGTGTTAGGTTTTCATCCAAGACCTAGGACACTGGTGCTCAATTTTCTAGAATTTGCTCCTTGCAAATATTTAGCTATCATGACAGTAACAATAGTAATAAAATAATTTTAAGCTGAGCCAAACAGGAATTGCATAAAGCTTTGATTATTTTAGGAATTGTGGAATTATTTTGGCTTAAAAATTCATAGTACCAGTTTCAGATTTGGATTTTAGTCACAGTGAGAACACCTTAGTTTGCCCCTCTAGGCTGCACAACTTACATATCATAATAGGCTTTGCAACTTTATTAAGAATTTCATTTAAAAACATGGTGGTAAATTTGTGAGTCCATCAAAGTTAGAAGTGGGCTTTGTGTTTGACTTTCAAGGTAGTTGAGTTTGGATCTTAAAATTTTAGAAAAAAATTAGACTCCTCCACATTCTAGACTATTTCCTGTAACTGCAAAAGAAAAGCTTCCTAGAGCAATTCCATAGGAAAAATAGAAATGAAATGGAAGAAACTCCACATCATACAGCTGTAATAAAAGCAAGATGGAGTATATTACCTTTTGTGTCAAATATCATTATTCTCTAATGATTTATGGTCTTGCGTCTTTTACATTCCCACTAGTTTGGAGGACCTGCGAGTAAAGTTAGAGAATGAGGGATTGGTCAACATCTCGTATGTGGTTGTCAACCATCAGGGAGCTCAATCTCGGAGGGAATTTCACCTACTAAAAGAACGTGTTTCAGACTACATTACTGTCTACCAGCAAGATGAGCAGCAAGAGGATGTCTGGACTACTTTAAATGGAAACAAGGACGACTTTCTCATCTATGACAGGTGTGTGCTTACAGACAAACTTGGGAAAATATCTGCATATATTTTGAATAATGATTTGCAAATCTCGATATAATTTCATTGATGTGCAAATAACAAAAACATCATGCTCAGCTTCTAAGTTGAACTAAGTAAAGTTCTAGTATTTACTGGAAAAACAAAGTTACAAAACCAAAATCTGCATTTGCATAAGTAATTTTGGAATATTTTTTTTTCTTTATAATTACCATGTGTTTAGATGAACATAAGTGAGGATAAAATTTGGTAACATGTTCATGGTTTTAAAGTGTTTTTATTTGCAGATAACTTCATTACATCCATGCATGTGAAAGTAGAATCTTTTATCTCATGGAAACTTTTTGATGAGAGTTGTTGAAAATGCCATGTAGATATAAGGAAAAATTAGTCTTTAGGTAAAACTTCAAACTTCAGAGGAAAATTGCTTTTTGATATAGGATTCTGACACAAGTATATTTTGGCAGCACCAGTAGGAACTGTAGTTGAACTCTCAATTTTTCAATTTTGATGTGATTAATTACTTGAAAAATCCTGCACTTGAAACATGTCTACCCTTGTTACTTTATATTACTGTAATGAACACTCCAAGTTCATTTGAAACATAAATAAGCTTAATACAGAGTTAGAAAGTTACTATTTTTCTGTTATGTGATTAATTTAAACAAGTTAGCTACATTAGGTTTGTAGGATGAAAGTAGCAGTGGAATGAATGATCTTGAATATTACAGCAGCAAATATGCCCAAGTAAGGAAGGCTGATGTAATACAACAGACAAACAGAACAGTGCTGTATTTCATCTGGGAGGGGGCCCAGACACCTTTTCCAGAGCATTTGAAAGGTTGACCAGTTCTGTGCTGTCGACACACAGGGTATGTGTACATGATGAATTAGCTTAGCACTAGCCTGGCCATGATCCGTGATGGCTCTAGGAGCCTGTGTTCTTGTTGTGCCTTAGCCACGAAAGCTTTGCCTGCTGCTGGTCCTAAATGTGCAGTCCACACGTGGGGAGCTAAGGCCAGGGGACTGTGTGTTGGCTCTGAACAAGCCGCCCTTGTGTACAGGTTCTGCATTTTCTCCAGCTCCTTTGAGCAGATCAGTTGTGTAGTCAAGTGCATATCAGAACACTCAAGTGCAGACATGGGGCAAGCAGGCACTATAACAATCCCCTCATGAACAATAAACCAGTAATGCAGGTCCACCACAATTCCCATCCCAGTCAAAATACTGTCAGGTTGCATAAAACCACTTGGTAAGGATGCAGCAACCACTCTGCAAAGAACCCTTCTCATTATCCCAATGGATCTGAAATGAATGCACCTCTGCCAGTGTTCGTCACTAAAGGACAGGCCTCTGGCAGTGCAACTACCACATTGGCCAGAAATCATGCTTCACACACTGGCCAGTGCAGGTGAGTGGGCAAGCATTTGTCATTTATCAGGGAAGATATCGGATTTGCCTGTGAACTGGAACAGAAACACTCCCCATGGAACAGTACAGTGTGGGTGGATTGATGCAAGTAAAGTTAAGATATCATAAGAAGAGAGATTTAGTTGTAGGTATTTGTAACCAGAGTTCTTTCTCTCCTTAGATGTGGACGTCTAGTGTATCATCTGGGTATGCCCTACTCCTTCCTGCATTTTCAGTATGTGGAAGAATCTATTAAGATTGCATACTGTGAAAACAAGTGTGGAAACTGCTCTTACATGGTATTTTCTTGTCTCATTCTGTATATAACAGAAAAGTAGATTTGATTGGTATTTTAAAAATTATTTCAATGTGATTAATCCAGAAATATAGTATTTCAAACTTACACATTTCATGCATCTTGACAGATAGCTTTTAAACATTTTTCTAAGCTAATTAGATTTGATTTAGAATACACTGATTGATGATTTGAATTCCTTTCCTTGACAGAAATGCAAGTAATTGTCAGAAATGTAAAAGCAATCTTGGAGAGTAATTGTGTTTGTAGAGCCATAGAGGTAGTGAGCAATTAACTACTCTAATTTTGTGGGATGGATAATTACATATTTTTTTAAAACCCAGGAATCAAACTCAAGCTGGTTTGCATTACTATTCATTGTAGTTTGCATTGAAACACAGATAAAAGGTGACAAATTATTGTTACGGCTATAAAAGAAGGGTAGATTTCTTTAACGAGAATCATTCAAGACCAGAAATACTTTTAAGGATTATCAAGAAATATACATACTTCATGGAAGTTCAATGAAAATAATAATTTTTGATCCCATTGTGCAGTGTTCTGGCTAAATGTAGACCACAGATAGGTCAGATGTAGGATCTAGCATAAGAATATTTGTTATTAGCAGTTACTGGAATTATAATTGCTAAAAAGCCCTGTCTAGTTGACAGTGGTTTGACAGTACAAGGCTATTTTTGATATGTTCAGCAAAATAGCATAAATAACTTAAAAGTGCCTTTCATACTCTGTGAATATTTTACAACTAGTTTAATTGAATACAGTGTCCTGTATTTAATGCAAGCGTCTGTTTTGCAGGAACCTGATGTTGAAGGTGTATGTGAAAACATCACTAAAAAGGCAGTAGAAGAGCTGTCAGAGATAGAACCCAAGCCAACAGGTCAGCATTCCCATCCCAACCTGCACAGACATGGACACCACCAGCGCCACCACCGCCACCACCATCACAAGGGCAGTCGTGATCCCAAACATGAGAACCACCAGGCTGCTGCTGAAGCTGAGAGACATCATCCTCACAGCGGCTGGCGCCACAGGCTTTTTGGCCACCACAGACACGATCAGATAGGCAGTCAGGAGCACGTAGACACTGACCCTCCAGGAGAAATTGTGGAAATTCCACAAGATAAAAAACTACGAAAGAAAGGGAAAAACAGCTGCAAAAATGAGTTAACTTGAAATTGGCAGACAGGATCAGACTCTACCTCTAGTAGCTGATCCTGTCATTGTCGACACCTTCTGTTTGAAGACCTAGGGAATTCTGTCACCTGACAGTGTCGTGGAGCACTACCAAATTCTTGCAGGTGACACGGGCAGCTGGCAGCAGAGGACGTCACTGAGTCTTGACAGTGCCGTCTGCTCTCTGCTGCCTGACATTCATCACCAGCAGGAGCAAGTGAAACTAGTGACACCTGACAGTGACAGGAAAAGGCGAGGAACTGATCCTGAAAAAAAAACTAAACACCTCCCAGAAACAAGGGAGTCACACAAACTCAGTTAATATAATTGCAAGAGGAGAAAAATGAACAGATTAAGTGTTTCTATTGCCCCAAATTCAAAATTGTGCTGACAGGTATGGGTATATTACAAAGGAGTGAATTTTTAGAGCAGAGCTTTTAGAATTATTGAATACCTGTCAAATTCCATCAGTGAAAAGCTTAATGATTTAAAGGAATTTGGTTGACCCCTAGTTTTTTTTCAGTTCCACTGAGAAGGTGTCGACATTCTTGATTAATTTGTCTTTCTTGTTTCTCTTCTAACATTCTGCTTGCATTTGTGAGGACAGGAGCATAAACTATGATCTAGGGGCTCCTGTCTGATGTTTTGCAATCAAGAACAGAAGATAACCAAGATGGATACATTAATCTAATAATTTTTTATTAAGAAGACAATATATCTGAAAGTTGAGTTTGTTTTTTTTTTTTTTTTTTTCTAACCTGGGGATACAAATAATGTACAAACAAAACTTCTAAGCAATGTGACAGAATAATTCAATATAAAAAAATGTAATATACAGACAGTAACTGCTTTATTTTCAAGTAACAGATCGATAAACTTAACTCTGACAAATATTTCTCAACAAAGCTAAGAGCTTTGTGACTCTTAGATACAGTAAGAGGGTCCATTAATACATACTGCTACAGCATCTAAAATCCTGCTAAATCAATTAGATCATCCTGAAGTGAGTAGTGTTAACAACTGAGAGTCAGAATCTAAAGGAAGATGGGATGAAACAAGTTTAATCTCGGGGTAATGTTGATCTTTGTTTATAACAGTGCTGAATTTTATAAGTCTGTATCAATTATCAATCTTTATCAATTAACATAATATACCACTTAAACTTGTATAACTTCTTTGTCTATAGCCTAGCATTCCTAATGTTTGATTAACTGAATGGAAGTAAATTCAATTGTTTGAAGGATTTCTGGATGAAGAAGAGAATATTCATGAAAAGAACACTGCTATGAAAGCATACACCATAATAAATGATGGTTTAATAGGGAAATTACTACTCCTACAAAACCTGAATCTTTTTATTGTGAATGCTGATTAGCAAGAGAGTAGCTGTGAATATACTCAGAATGCATGCCTTTGGAATGTTTGACAGGAATGTTTTCAATAAAATGTACTTTCTTCATATCTTGTTTTTATTTTGAGATGCAGAATTTGAAACACTGAAATACTTCATGTCATTTACTCAGAATCTCCTCCGTTTGAACGGCAGGTCTTGGCCTTTATTAAGACGCTGCTCCAAGTCTCTTATGGTGTTTCGGAGAATTTCAATTTCTTTGTTTTTCTCTTCCTGGAGATGCTGCAGCTTCTGTAAAAGAGCAGACAAAGGCTTCATTCTTAAATATCACATAAGATTATGTAACAATACCTTGTGCTACTGTGAGTAAGATATTTTAATAAGAATATTTTCCTTGGTATTTTGTATCACAAAATTGCAAAAACTATTTCCTGAATCCTGTTTTTCTAAAAAAAAAAAAGCATTCTACCAGTGTCACTGATGTCAGTTCTAGTTTAAATTTCTAGGTTAACAATTCTGTAGTAAAACCACAAAACCACCTCACATGTAGCTTTTTGTTGTTGCTTGCCCTCAGTAGTATCAGTATGTCAAGAGCCATGACAATTGGAGTTGATGATCTTAAAAGCCTTTTCTATACTAAATTATCCTATGATTCTATGGATTGAGTGTTGTAGAGGGTGTGTGGGAGAGAACATAGGGAGAAACCCCAGGGAACGCCTGCTTCAAACACCCTGAAACAGTATCTGTGTGCTACACACTATGAAAACACCTACCCTTCGATAGATACTTTGTGGTAAGACTGAGGCATCTGAAAAGGACTTGGTGGTTTTATCCTGAGCTCTTGCCAATTTAGCATTGAACTGAAAGAAACAGGCAAAGACAAAATGGTAAGAATGAACGGGGTGTGGGTGTGGGGGGGAAAGGTGTATTAAATATGTCAAGTGAAATTTTCACTTTTTATTAGTTGCATTTTTTCACCTGAAGGTAGTAGCAGCAAGCCTTTCTACTAAGTCTAGAAAAACAAGGCTACTTATGTTTACTTTAAAAAGAATGTAGTTACAAGCTGTATGTCTTTAAAAAAAAAAAAGTCTCAAAGTTTTGCAAAAGCAGTACAAATGCACTTCTGAAAAAAAAAAGAAGAAAATTGAAGGCTTCTCAGCCATATATCTACAGAATGAGAAAATACAGAAGGTGCTAAAATCCTCCAGAAGCATCGTTCTTCTTTTATGTTCCAAGGACCAGTCAGCCTAAACACTTCCAAAACTTATTTCTTTTTTGATGTGTGAAAGGTTTGAAGCATTTCCTTAATTCTTTTTGTAATGAGAATGTTTTAAAACAAGATAAATGAAATACATGATGAATGTTCTGTCTTAAATATCTGAAGGATTAGAATTTCTTATTGGAATTTTATTTAAAAAAATATTCTCATCATTCAGAAATTAAAAACAAGAAAGTTAAGCAGAAAACATTGTTGAATTTAATAGCTCAAAATCTAAAACTATTTCTAAGTAATCTGATTTGGAACAAGAGGAGAGCACCTTCAGTCTCCCTATACAGGAGGTGGAACTTGACTCCTGAGCAGGAGTCAGTTACCATTGTGGAAGGGAGCACCTACCACTGATCCCCATTAAGACAATAAATAATTAAGTTTTCTAGATTCCATCATATTACTTTGTTAAGTACTAATTAACATTTTTTCACTACACAGTCTCTTTGAAGTTTACCAAATGCTCAGTTCATCTTTAAGTCAGCTTTGTAATGCATACCTCTATCTGCAGTTTAATTATTTCATTCTGCTTCTCTTCATTTTGAATTTTCAGCTGTCTAGTTAGCTCTAATATTTCCAGGTCTTTTTTATCTCTCTCTTCTCTATACTCCATTTCTTTTAGTTCAACTAGCAACACAGTAACACCAAAATTATGATTATAAAAGATTATATAGACAAAAAATTAACATAATTTTCCAAATATTAAAACTTTCTTGAACATCAGGTCAACATTTCACTGGAAGACAATTCAAGCAGAAACCATACTGAAACTATATGAAAACCACACCATCCTATCCCAGTAAGATGGTGTCTTTTTAAAAAAAGCATATAATTTGCAAAAACTTTCCTTGTTTACACCTATATGGAGGACCAAAAAAATCCTAATTTTTAAGGTTATATCTCTAATAGAGCAAATGAACATAGACATCAGTTTTCTCCTCACTGAAGTATTATTTATTTGTGAAAATAATGTTTTACTTTTCTGAACACAGATAGAAGATTTGAACAGCAATCTACCTTACAGTTCAAAGCAAGGTTCCAGTTGACACTTATATCAAAATTTCATTCCTTCTGATTTTTATGCCCACATTCCCATTATTTGTTCTAACTATCTGGGAGTTTCTATTCATCCCATGTTTCTGTACTATTGCTTCATTACCACTCTCTGTTCTCTTCAGTGAAGATAAAATTCCATTAAACACTGCCAATTTCTAGTGTTCATGTGTTTCCACTACAAAGTGGAACTCATATTTATCCTAGGCAAAACATAGCATGGTGACAGTATTTTTGCCCATTGCTAAAGTGTTCAATCTTTAGAGAACTTACATTTTTTCCTCATATCGCAATTCAACTGTGTTATTTCTAATTTGTGGTCTTCCTCTTTGCTTTTAATTTCTGTCATGAGTTTCTCAATTTGATCTTTATACTCCTGTGAATGTAAAATGTTTTGTAAAGATCTTGCAAACTGCTGTGCTCTTAGCCTTCTGCAAAGCACAACCATCATGTAAAAATATACAGTACTCTATTATTCAGTACTTGTTTTATCCTCAATCTTGTAAATTTAAATGCCCAGTTACTTCTTACATGGTCTGACTGAAGTCCACAGATGAAAAACATAGTAGATTTCATTGTATTACAGTTATCTGTTAATATAAAATTAGAAACTGTACTTCTTAGGAGAACAGGCAAATGGAGAGGTAATATTCCTTTCCCGAGAACAGGATCTGACACAATAATGCAGTTAGTTAAGGAAATACAGTTTCACTTTTGTGTATTTTTGACTCAAGGATTGCATGATTCAAGTGTGAGTTTTGTTAGTATTGTTTATACTAAGGATTCCACAACTTCACATTGGCAGCAGTAAGACACATCAGTGATACCAGCAGTAGTGATGCTGCTGGCAGTAACGTTCAAAGTTTGAAGATTCCAGTTATAAATTTACTCCAATAACTTACTAACTCCAATAACTATAAATTTACTCCAATAACTATAAATTTACTCCAGAACTTTCAAGGAATTGTCTGTAGCTGCCACTGTTGAGGTGCTGACTCCAAAGCTCTTGTTGAAGCTTTCTGACAAGATTGCCACTCACCAGAGTGATGTCTGGGGGCACTCACCAAGGCAGTCACTGACTGGGGATCAGTATATGGGGACATAGTCAGGTGCCTTCAGAATGACCAGGAGGATCCACCGTGCTCATACATGTGTTTAATGGGTGTATAATGGGTGAATAATAATTTTTCAGATCCTTCAGAAGGCATTACTCATTTTTTTACTCAAGAAGTCAAGCTAATAGCTCTACTGGTACAAATATTTGATTTTAACTCATAGCACAAACACAGGCAAAGGAAACCAGCAGTGAGATTCCTGATCCTAAACAGATAGCAGATGTGCACTCTCCACACAGAGAGCTATGAAAACAGAGAACTCTGACTAGTGCTTCTGGTTTTACCTCCTTTGCAAAAATTAGTGCCATAGATACAAAGTACAGAGATAATATATGGAATTTATTATGAGGTACAGATAAGATGTAGAGACCTATTATCTTTGTAGTATTTATTCCTGAATAAACTGGACAAAATTCAGACCACTCCTAATTCTCCAGACACCTTCAATGTGAAAACCCTATTTCCACATGCAAAATTATTTTAGTACAAGAGATTAGAATGATGAAGGTGAAATTGAATTTAAAGCTAAATGCAGTTAAAAAAACCCCAAGTGCATCTTAGATGGAGCCAAAGTTCTCAGCACCATGAAGTTTTAACCTCTTAGGTTTTCTAACACCTTCTCACATGGATACTGTCATGAGAACAACCTTTTTCTTTTTACACATGAAAAACATTAACAGAAGAGCACCAATACGAGTATCAATAGCAAACCCCAAACAAAAAGAGATACAGTATAATAGAGATGCAGTATTATTCCTTTTCCATAAAGAATGATAATTTTTGACATACCTCTTCACAAGTCTTTAATTTATCTTCCAAGTTGTGAATGGTTCCCTTTAGTCTATCATTTTCATCTACACAAACAAAAACTATATGGTACACTAAAAAGTACATTTTGACGATTTCTTCAGCATGAAAGCAGAATAAAGAAATTACTTGCATTTTTTAACTCAGCTGACCTTTGAGAACCTTTTTTTGTAGACATTATAATCATCATTACAGAACGACAAACTGTCTGTTTCAATTTTTAACAAGAAAAATCATAGTTTAAGTTTAATAATAATATTTAATTTGTATCACTACTTAGAACTTTCTCTAGTTTTCTGATAAATTATGTATTCAAGAAAAATCTAGATGCAAAGTTCTTTGACTCGGAAAATAAAAATTATTATCATGGCTACAACAGTCTCAAACTGGAAGATGCAAGTTCTTAACTACCTGTTTCCCAATAACCAGAAAACAGTATGCAAACAGAGAATTTAGAGAAAATAGATTTTTAAAAATTATCCTTATCAATTTGATTATTAAAAAACATCCATATACTTCCAGTGTTAGAGGTTTATTAATATATATATGCAAATATGCCTTGAAGGCATAATGGTTATAAAATTAACTTCATGGTGTAGTATAAAGATATAGCAAATATTTATTTTTTTTTCCGAGTAAAAATTGGTAGTTGTCAAGTATATGTGGACAAAAGCAATAACATTTAATTACATTATTAAGAATAATTATGATTATGATTATGATTATGATTATGATTATGAATAACAACAACAACAACAACAACAACAACAACAACAATAATAATAATAAAGACACTCTGGTTTATCAAAGTGATAAAAACTGTGCATAAACACTTTAATAGTCTACAATCCAACAGCTGAATGATACTTTCTCACCTTTTGTAAAATTGCCTGTGTTACACTAAAATGAATTTAAAACCCAGCTATTGATTAAAATAACCTCCTGGAGGCAGTTACTATGTAAACTATGGCAATAATGGCAATAGTAATTTATTACTGCACAAGATTTATTTTAGATTTTTTTTTTGTTTCTCTTTGCCTGTCAGTAAGTTTCTGTGTCTGAAAAAAAAAATCAGTAAATATAAATGAAAAAATTGAATGCCTGCTTATTCAAAATTACAGTACAGAATATATATAAAATAGCATTTTTTCCTTTACCTTTCACATTACACTGGTTTTCAATGGTTTGTGTCAGACCCTTTATCACATTCTGTAGAGAACTGCATTCTGAAAGAAATTAAAGATACAGTATTTTTGAATAGTGTCTTCACAAATTTACATTTTGTTTACAAAATTTTATCTAATACTTTATAATAATTTTGGTTAAATGTTTCTCTAAGTCTTTTTACTGACTGTAGAAATAACTCAGATTATTATTACATGGTTACTGCTTAATTTAAGCTTTTAGTTTGATGATTGATTAAAATCAATTTTATGAAACAATACAAACAATTTCATAAAACTATTACATGCTTGTTTCTAGTCAGAAAACAAGCATCTTTTGTTTTGTGGGCAATACTGGAAGTTTCCTGTATCAGCCTTCCAGCAATTTGATGTATTTAATGAAACTGAGACTTACTTTCCTGACATTGTTTCTTTGCCAATTTTCTTTTAAACAAGACCAAGAGAATCCACTCACTGCAGTATCTTACCCCTTTTTTACCCATTTTGTGATGCATGTAACATTCATCTTGTGGCTCAACATAAGCTTTGAGAGATTCAGAATATATGTTCCATTATCTCATTTTATAAAACAGAATTATGCATGAAAGCTCTTATCAGTTTACATAGTTGTATTTCATAATTTTATTTTTAAATGGTATTTTTAATATTCAAACACGATATGTACTTCCTGTAGTGTAGGATTAGGTTTTCACTAAATGACTTTTATCCCTTATGTTCATTGTAAATTTATCAGTAGAGTGACAAAACTGTCAAAGGCTGAGAACAGCAGAGGCTCTACAACTGAGGTTGTTACTTTTAAAGCTTCTCTTTCTCTTTCCTGAGTACCATTGCATTTCTTAAATGGCTTTTAATTTCCACAACACATAAAAGTTCCCTGAATGACAGTTACTCATCTCATCAAACTAAAGCCCTTTTGAAAACTGTCCATCATATCACCAAAGACAACACTACAAATAATGGACTGAGGAAGATAAGCTAAGATCCCAGGTAACTGGTTCAGTTTTCTGTCAGCCTGATCTTCCATCGAGTCTGCTTTTAACGAAGCCGAGTACGTTAGCCAGATACCTTCTCCCGTTCCGTGCTTCCAAAAAAAACAGTAGAGGGAGCACGAGCAGCACAGAAACATTGCCTGCCCCTCAGTTGGTGCGCTGGATCAAACGCAACTGTGGAAAAATCCTGTTCAAAGTCGGAATGACTAGGATCAGCATGCCCGTCTGTCTGTACCACCTAGTTGTACTACAAATCTCCTCCCATTTGAAAATGTATGGAAATTAACTCAGATGCTTGTAATTCATGCACAATTTGGAAAGACATCTGAGTCAACACTAGAGCAGCAGCTAGTCTTTACAAGGAATTACAGCTGTTTAAGTGTATGCCACTCTTTTGTACAGTCCCAAGAATATCTGCTTATCTTTCTTATATTTAAAGGATATATCTTGGCAAATCTCACATGTACCTAAAGTTCTGACTGGAACAAAATTCCTGGGAATGCACAAGTTTTGCTTGCCTACATTAAGGAAAAGAAGTGGAATTTTTCTTTATGTTTGCAGCCTTGTGGATCACTGTCATAGCATCTGCTATGGATCCTGTGTAGCTCATTCCCTGTAAGATATAGTGCCTACATGCAGAAAGACTGAACAGCATAGGTGTTCATCTGCATTTCTAATTGATTTGTTTATAGAGCAATTATATCAACCACTTTTTCCTTTGACACCTTAGAAATGCTAAATAAACAAATACACAACCCTGAAGATGCTAAATAGAACCTCCTTAAGTGTTCTTAAGCTTGCTTAAGTGTCCTTAAGCAAGCTCTGATTGCTTTATTTTAGAAAATTACATTAGAATTTAATTCAGAACTGTAGCATCACGAGTCTATTTGGCCACCATAGAAACAGTAGAAAGGAGCAGAAAACAAATATTTCAGACTGGTATCTGTCTAATATGGATCTGCAATGGTGTACATGAAACAAAAACTGTTTTTTTGAAACTCATCTTTGTTTAGGAAACAATGTATCAAGAAAAATAAAGTTAATTTATGACCTTTCAGAGAGTGTACACACAGGCCAAGCTGCCTTTTCTTTTTCCACCTTATCTTGGATATAAGTGTTTCACTGCCCTCTCCCTTGAGCTCTAGATATTTTCTTTCTTCCTTTGTATTTTTTTTTTTCAGAATTTACAATATTATTTTACCTTAAACAGTTCTAGGAAAGATTTTGACAAGGATATCAAGGACTCCTCAGGTTCTCACTTTTTGGAAATTTCTTGGGGTATGAAATGCTATTTTTGTTGTTGTTGTTGTTTCTTAAAACAAAGTGTTCTTCAGTCAGGAAAAAAATTCACTTCCTTCACCCCACTACCACTATTAGCCACAAACTCTTCAGGGTAGGTGGAACAATAGCTTATCTTTTCACAGCTCTCTTTCTTCCTTCTCCTCTGCTGTAAGCAACTTCTGTTGCCTTTGGAGCAACCCTTCAAAAGATACTTCAGGAGCTGTGGCTGAGTTGGGTTCTGGGAAACAGCTTGGGACATAAGGCTAGGGGAAATTTTTTTTCCAAGCCACAGCTGGCAATATCACTCTATAAAAGCCATTCTTATGACTACAGTCCATTCAGATAACTATCGCCAGAGTAAAGACAGAAAGTATCGATGCTGTATTTGGTCCCTTGTGCCTCTTCAGCGCTGCAGAGGACCCCTCTATAGCCCCATCAATATTAAAGGGGATTGGGGGTCTCTTTTAATTCCACAGTGCTTTGACCTTCCAAAAGATTTTCATAAAGAATTTAACTATTAGATGCAAAAGTTTTAGTACTCTGAATCTGAATACCGCATATGCTATTACCTCTTTTGAACGGTCAGTGTGGAAGGTCAATTTAATAAAGGTGAAAAGACTGTTTCTATCAATTGCAAAAAGAAAAAGAAAATATATAGACATACTAATTTATACTACTATACCATATTAGTATAAATACTATAGTAGTATATATACTATAGTAGTATGTATGCTATACATACTACTATAATATATTAGTACGTTATAGGCATACTAATTTATAATCACTACATCAGCCTTTCACATCTTTTTGAAATACTCTTAATGTCACCACCACTATTCACAAACTCTTCTCATCTCTAGCAACATGTTAATTGTTTACCTGAAGGTTCCTGTCTCTGCCACAGTTTATGTCAATTTTCTGTGCAAGATGTTTTTTTGAAACTCTGCTTTATGAGCACCAGTAATGAATACAGTTCAAATCAATATACTTACAAGCATTTAATGCCCTGATATTTGAAGGGTTTACCTTATTGGTAAGCACATTAATCTAATAGTTTACCTTACTGGTAAGTACAGAATCACAGAAAGGGCCCTTACTGGGTCATCTGCCCAACCTCCCTGCTCAAGCAGGGCCATCCCAGAGCACATAGCACAGGATTACACCCAGATGGTTTTTGAATGTCTCCAGTAGCGGAGACTCCACAACCTTTCTGAGCTTAACCTAACTGGGCAGCCATAATTGTCATTATTTCTAGATATATTCCATCCCTTTGGCATCTTACTCATATTTTACTTCATTATCATTAAATAGCTTTCAGAATCACCTCTTCGATGTCTCACATTGTTCCACATTCCTGCTTTGCACTTGTTTTTGTCAATGTTACTAATATGTCTGCAATTACTCTTACTCATTGACCAGGATCCTCGTCTTACAGCAATTCTGCCTCCAGTCAATATGTGCACTAACCCTATGACTTCAATATTGTTGAGGTTTGTTTTTTCCTGACTATCCCTGTTGCTGAAACATTAGCTCATATTTCAGGCTGATTGCTCTGGTATTTTTATTTGGACTTCTGCCACCCACACTTCTTTTTTTCGTCCTGTGTTTCAAAAGAAGTTCCAGAGGCTGTTCTCTTCAGTTGTATCAGCATAACTATCTCATCAAATAATTTCTCTCTTACCTCATGAAAGTGAGGCAATACTGTTTACAAAGCTCAGATCTCTCTTCTGACTTTGATCTGCTTTCAGTCCATTCCTCTTTCTTGTTGCAGTCATCCCAGCTGCTCTGGCTTCCTGAGTTGTCTCTTTCACTTTCTCTGCTACCATTTATATCACAGGTTCCATAGTAAGAATGATTTCTTCTTTTTGTCAATCTTTTAATTTCCTTTTTTACAAACTATTTTATATAAACCCATTCCTTTCTAGTTTCATCAATAAGGAAACCTCTTCTGTTTCTGAGGGACTGTCCTTCACTATCTGACTTTTGTGCTTAATAGAGAAACAAGTTTTTCTGACTGAAACCAAAGTTCCATCCAGTTCACTAAGACACTTTGCTATACACACTACAGATAATTCAGGAAAGATGAAAAAAAGCTAGATAAATGATATCATTAGTACATCCTCTCAAGTTCCCAAGCACAGAATGAAGGAGGACAATGAGAGATACTGCCGTTGTGTTTAAAAAAAATTGTTGTTTTCTATTATTTTTTCCAGTTTTTTTGGATTAATGTATACTTCTGTTATGCACAGGCTTCTGTGGAACCGATATAAGTTTATTTTGTAATGTGTGGAAAAGTTACTCCTTTGTTAGCTCTAAATCAATAAACAAGTTTTATTTCCATCTAGTTTTTTTACTACATTAGACAATGAATATTCTATTCTGTCATCACTTTCTCTGAGCCATTCTCAATTTCACAACTATTAGTCATATCAGCTCAATTCTTTTTCTTGGCTGAAAAGTTCCCAGTCAACTGAAGTCTTCCCTCAGATGTCCCAAAATTGTGACCAAACCTGTGAAAGCCCCAGGTGCATTTTCCCACAGGCACCTTCTGGGTGTCTGGCTGGGCACAAGGCCATCTTAGAAAGAATATAGATGGTACATTCAAAAAAAGGCTGGCAGCAGATTCAGAAATAGCAATCCCTTCTTCCCATGCTTGTTAACGGACGCTTTTGCCCTTGGCCTCTGCTGCAGCTGTGAGGCAGCCACACACTAGACCCTGCTCATGACCTAGGGAGTGATTTTCTGGCTTGATATCAGACCTGCCTCTTCATTTGGACCAAGCAGAAATCCTTGGGCCATGTCTTGGCCTTTGTTACCATTTCTGAACTTCATTCTGACTCAGCCTCCTAAGTCACTCTCATCATTACAAACTTGTTTTGTAATGTAGACTTTTGGCTGACCATGGCAGTCCTTGCTGGACCAGCCCTGCATAGGCACAGTGGGAGTGAGCCTTGCATGGTTAAGCCCCTACATCCATGGTCTTTTTTACAGGAATGGTTCCTGATTCCTTGTACCTTGCTCCTTCCTGGCAATACCAAGCCTTGCCTCCTTCCCTGTTACCTTTTCTAGTTCTGCTATTGTCTATTTTGAGATGTGTGGACCACAACAGGACACAAAAATCACAGACCTTACAGAGTCACAAAGCTTATTTCTCTTTTTCTTCTGCAATCATGCCTACCACTGTGTTTGCATCTACTGATATTTTAAGAGAACTGTTTAGAGGACACCAAAATCTCTTTCCTGAAAAGCAGCCAACATCAACCATTGTTTACACAAAATGCTTCCCATTTGTTCTGCTACTGGTCTCCATCTCCCCTGTCATCTTGTACCATGAGTTTTTGGTATATCTGAAGAGATTATCATCATAAGCAAGCTTCACTCACTCAACAGCTCAATTTCAACACTTAATTTCTGATTATGCTAAATTATCCAAGTCCCAGTGAAGATTGGAATAAAACCCAACTGGCAATCTTCCAGTTTATTCCTACCTTGCTTCCAAACTTTCAGCAGGCTGAGTTTAAAGTCCTACAAAAAGATGCACCTCAGCTACTTTACAAACTACAGAAGAATAAGCAACCATAAATCCATGCTAAGTATTAGATATTGTTTCTCATTTCAAATACTCATCTGGAAACAGTTCTAGAATAAAACAAATCTTAATTTTATAGTTTTTCCTAAAATCCCTCCTTTGTTTCACAACTTTTAGATTATGATTACAGACTTATAGTTCCCATCTATAAATAGTGAATGACATTTTATTAGCAGCCATTGAACTGTCTGAATCATCATAAAATTAATATCAATATTAATATTTACTATGACATGTATTTCATTACATGATTCAAGATTAGGCATTACTGCTTTTCCCACAGTATCTTGTGTTCTTGCTATGCTATTTTTTATGGCTGAAAATAATGGAAATAACTCTCAAAACTTCTTGAATATATGCAAAAATCATACCTTTCTAATAAAATAACTTACCCTCTTTTACTGATTCCTCCTTTGATTGACTTAATGTTAGCAATCTGTTACATTTTTCCAGCTGATGAACCAGTAGGTTATTTGCATCATTAATTTCTGATATTTTCTAAAAAATTGGAGAAGGACTAACATTATATTAACATGTTTTAAGTTTTGAATTTTAAGTGAATAAAAAATTTAACAATTCAACAATACTGCAGTACAAGCCTGTAATATTTCCTATTCAGGAGATTCCTTTATAGAGAAGAATGATACTACACTTGAGATCCTTTGCTGCTCCAAGCTTACCCTGCAGAAGTAAGAATGCTGACTTGCATAATGAGTTCTAAACTATTTTCCTCTCAGTTTTGTAGTCAAGAGTCTGGATCGATCCTTTGCAAGGTTCTTTCTACTGCTTTGCATATGAGGCTGACAACACTCTTGCAGAGCAACAACTTGAACAGTATGTGGAAACTGGAACTGGTATAATAAGTTTATTCCATGAGAAATGCTAAATTTATTTCAGGTGCTCCTTTTATGCTACCTCTAGTATGGATTTTCTGACAAGGAAAACAGTAGAAAGCTACTATCAACATCAGTCTAAAAAGAAACAGTACTGATTTTCCTCAGAAGGTCAATCATTTAAGAAATGACACACACAAAAGATAAAGGAAGCTCAAGTGTATACGGAATGTAGGAACTCATGCTCCTGATAAGGCAATGACATTTTTCTAGAACAAGGAACAACTTCTGAAGGGATACCCCAGCACTAGACCACTTGGTTTTGTGAGAAGTGCCCCTCCCTATAGCAAGGGGGGTTGGAACTAGGTGGTCTATAAGGTCCCTTCCAGCCCAAATGATTCTGTGATTCTATGAAAGTGGTGTAATACAGTTATCTTCAACACAATCTTCCATAGTCTTCCTGAGAAGCCAGTTTGGCCTCTGGATTATTAAAATTCTAGCACAGAAAGGCTTCTCAGATTTCACAGAATCTACTCCTATGTCTCCAGGGTACAGTCCATACAAACAGTTTGCCAAATGAAGTTGGTATTACAAGGCATAACAGTAAGCTGATACAACTTAAAGAAATTTTCACTCAAAAAGATTTTGAAAATGTCGCACAATAATTATAGATGGCAGTCTCAAAATTTTCTACCTTTTTCACTTACCTCTTCTATCTCTGAGAAGTCACATAGAAGTTTATCAAGGTTCACTACACTGGTTTTCTTCATAGTTTCTTTATCAGTATGATTCATTTATTTTTGGACCATATAACCAAATGACCACTTGATATATGGAAAAAATAGATCTGTAAATTAATACATTTCTCATCCACAACACATAAATTCTTAGGCAAGAATATAAGAAAAACATAGAAGACTATTTTTTAAAATTAAAACTATTTTTGTGTCAAAGCTAAACTTCAGCCCATTTAAGATCTTGCATTTCTAGGAAATACAATGAATGTCAGAAAGCCCAAACACTACCTGTCAAACTGATATATTGTGGTTGAATTTGGAAAGTTTGCTGCAATTAAAAAGTTAACTTGGATCCACTTCCATAGACAGAATAATGCACCAGACACATATTAATTCAACATCTTCTACCTGTGTAGATACTCTAATACTTGGCTACTCAGGTTTAGAGGTACTTACATATTTTCTTATAAACAACAAGTGTTAAATAAATTATAGGCACTGCAAGACATAAACCCTGCTGCAGAATAAAAATACAGTATTTTGAAAGGCACCAGATTTTTAACACAACCCCTATTTTTATAAATTCTACTTACAGAATCTTCAACATGTATTTGCGAGATGGATCTGAAATACACAACATGAATGCTTCTAAAAATTCTCAAACTATATCTCAACATCAGGCTCCATGAGACAAAAATTCCAACACCTACTAGTAAACCATGTGGTCCAAAAAAAATCACAGCTTCTACATGGTAATGTGTGATCAACCTTTTTACAAATAACAAAAAATTTGCAATCAGGAGATGAACCAGAAGTTAAAATGTGTTCACTACCCAGAAATTGAATGAGTTTCCAGACAGAAATACTTGCAGTACAGTTACGCAGAAATGGGCAAATGCACAACACTAAGCAGAAACCAAATCTGAGTAATTTTCTCAGTCATTCAATATTTACAAGATTTTATGTGTATGTAACTTCTTGAGCAAAGCAATACAATATTAGTTCTGTGTATTTAATACTTTTTTCTTCTGCCCACTCCTCCTTCAGTGAGACTAAAACTAATTCATAAGCCAAAACGCAATTTTTTAAATTAAGTTTTCAGAATATAGTAAACTTGGAAAAATAAATGATTCATGAGGGTTATTTTTTTTTAATTAATTGGTAATCTTAATGACTTGCAACCTACTGGGGTTTTAAATATGAATTCAGGACACTTGAATTTTTAAAAGAATTACCCATCTTAATATTCTGTTAGTTGATAATCTAAATGTACACTATGAATGTAAATCCTTGACTTTTCCAATCCTTATCATGAGCAGTATCTTATATTTGCCAATTTTTTTCATTACTTTCACAACTGTGTTCCACTCTCTGCATTTTGACAGAGGATAGAATTCAGGGAGCTGCTGTGTTGAGCTGTTCTTTTTGTGTGTTTTCTTATTCTACAGCATCACTTGTTTTCTCGGAAGACAGGATGTGCTCAGCACTTGGCAACAGTACCACTGGGTACAAAACGCCTGCTGAACTGCAACAGTAAATTAAAAAGAATGTATTATTAATGTTGTATTTTTTCCAGCAGGAGAAGTCATCACTGTTATTACTATTACACATTATGTCTTCAAAAAGCATTTTATGTTAAACCTGACACTCGTGTTTTGAACGATGATATTTATGTCACGGGGGGGAAAAACTAAAGATTTAAATAATGGGTTTGACTGCCGTAAAAGTGACACTTCCGTTTAATGCCTCTTTGACCCCTTGCCATCGATGCTTTCCCAGTATCACTTTCGAAACTATTGCAGCTGGTGATACCACTTTTGAAAAGTTTTCAATTGCAGTGAAACAGAGAGAGAGAGAGACAGACAGACAGAGAGAGAGAGAGAGAGAGAGAGAGAGAAAGAGAAAGAGAAAGAGAAAGAGAGAAAGAGAAAGAGAGAGAGAGAAAGAGATACAGAAAGAGAGAGCAAGAGAGAGCAAGAGAGATAGAGAGAGAGACAGAGAGAGCGAGCTATTAGCCGTATGTAGGAATTATTCAGCAGCAGGCCAGGGCCCCGCTCACCCGAGCCCCGCCGCTGCCCCTGAGGCGCCTGAGGGGAGCGCAGCGCGCGGGCGGAGCGTACCACCGCCGCCGGCCCTGGGGGGGCGCGCCCCCACGGGGCCGGGCTCGGCCCACCCCCGCGCGGGTTCCGCCTCCCGCGGGTGAGATCGGACCCCCCCCGTTGAAAGTTGGTCGTGTCCTCATTAGGCAGGTGTTAATTTACTTTATGGACCCAGTTTTTTTTACATAAATAGGCTTCATAAGTGCATTCCTGGAGCCCAACCTGCATTCTAGTGTGTGACGTTTCACCCGTAAGCCAAGATTCGTAAATGCTTGTGGTTGAACAGAACGACAAGTCAGGGGGTGTGCAAAGTGTGAAGTGGTATGTCAGCTCCTGACCTAGTCTGCACATGGCAGTGAGGGGAGGG